AAAGAAAATAGCTAATTCATACAAATATCGGCGAAAAAGCTTGATGGCAGCTAGGAATCGAACATGTAAGACCTTCACAGGACAGACGATGTTGAAAAATTTGAAAAAATTTCATTAACTATCATCATCCACGCTGCTTTGTTTACTTTACCATATCTTCAACGAATTATTAGACAATACTCTGAATACAGTCACGCAGGAAGGTAGGTGATGTACACATGTGTTAACTTGTAAAAACAGGCAAGAGATGCTGTGAAACTTCGTCGTATTAACCCCGTAAAACTACAAGTCTCGAAAAAAAGTAGCAGCAAAAATGAGCAAAGCCCGTGGGCCAGCTNATGAAAGAAATGGTCCATTGGGATTCAATACACTAAAAGAGGCCTCGCTTCATGACGCAATGATCTAACAATGTCCGGAACGCGCCACGTTACGATTATTTTACAAAATCGCAGAGACTAGAACTTTCTTGGGTTGTACAGTAGTTGTGAACACGACCCGATGTTTTAGTCAAAGTGCTCACTAGCTCGACTATCTGATATCAATGAACGGAGTAACGCTCCGTGAAATATAGGATTAGGTTAGACTGAAAAAATTCCGGCATTCAAAGGTTACATTTTGGACATTGCGTAGTGGAGCGGATTGACGAAGAGGTAAACAAAAAAGAAGTTACTTCTTGTTCATATCATCAAATCAATAATTATGGGAAAGACCTCAATCTTTCAAAACTTCCAAAACACTGTGATGGTGCATCTTTTAGAATAAAATGGAGATCCGATCAGATGCGGTACTCGACCGATTCCCCTAACCCTTCCATCCCGAGGAACTGGTAGCAGTCCCGTGTGTGAAGGTGAAAGCGTTGCTAACAAAATTGTACGTCACTTGCTTCACAGGTCATTTTATAGTCAAAATGAGCATTCAACCATTATTGCTGTGGAAGCCGAATGAGTGGGTGCATCCCATTGAACGACGCTAACTATTTCACCCTTCGTCCTTATCTTTTCAACAGTAAAAGTGATAAACATCAAAGAAGTTTACTCTGTGGCTCTCATGAGCAGAAAGAATAATTGGATGGAAAACGCACGGATGAGCAATGAAAGTGCAGTCAAAGTAATTTGAACAGAATTCGAATAATAAAAACTTAACAAAAAAAGGATAGATGGTGAAGGTCGTCTTCAAGGATGCCCTCTATTCCCGAAAGGACTGAAGGAAGCCGTTGAAGGATCAGACAAAGGGGAAGTGGTTCCTTCCGTGTCTCGCCGATGCACAACGTTTTGAGAGGGACGAATTTATGCAGATTTACTCAGAGCCAACGATAAGTTCCGAAATAGAGTTGGCCGGGAATCGGACGACATCCCGACAATGGCTTCAGAATCCTAGAACGATGGATGTGCGTCTACGTCAGCGACGTTGGCATGTTCAGTGAGACTAAGAATATATGAGATCTGTGAGGCAGCCTAGCCTCAGGCTACGGATAATTAGCCAAATCTAAGCTCCGTGATAATTGAGACGCAGTAGGTGATGGACTTCAAGGGTTGAGTCTGTTGATGATTGCCTTCAAGTCGCAAACTGCTCAAAAACTTATAAAAATATTCAGGGACAACCCTTAATCGAATCGAACCCAAAGGTCCGATCCAAATACGAACTCAAGAGCTCAGCATGGGTGGCTCAAGTGGGCTACGGAAGGTGCTCGGCGCTTTCTCATTAGCTGTCTCTAAGAGTTTCTCTTCTGGAACATGTAGTACGATGGATTCGATAAACGGACAAAAATGAGGTCACTATACCCATGGTAGGAAGTTCAATCTGTGGAAGACCTTTTAGATAAGGTACACATCTTCCTCCTAATTGCGATTTTCATTCATGGCATAATTGCGAAACGAAAAAACTGGGCTCCATTTATTTTCGCGAAAATCACGGGAATTTCCCACAAGAACAGGACACATGAACGAAGGAACCCAAAAAGAAGGGTAGCTTGAATAGGGGCAGCTCCCAGACCATACCAATCTGAGTGCAGCTCATGACATGGGGTACGCAGCTACTGCACGGGGTTTTGGGGAAGTTTTCTTCCCCAAAACCCCGTGCAATCGTCCTATTTAACAGCAGACAGAGACTATTTATAACAATAGATTTAACCCAAGTACACCTTACATTGTCCCTCATTAGACACCATCCTAGCACCTAAATATTCGTTTCTGGGTGCCCCTACATCCCTCTTCCAAACTACTTTCAGGATTCAACATTAATTAAACTAATTTTTGGAATAAAATTCCAGTAGAGCTATCGATATAAAGAAGAAATGTAAAGGGGGGTAAGTTCAAAGGATATCCGGGGGGAGAATCGAGCTCAGCAACAATCAATGTCTCGTAAATGGCTGGAAACAATGGCAGCGGCCACTAAGAAACTCGTCGAGGTAGAACCTCTTCCGGGAAAACGTAAGATAAGAAAGAATGCAGGAAGCGGTTTAATGGAGAGCACGATTAGGGAAAAAGAGAGGCTACGAGAATGAGAGACATGCATAGAAAAACTATAAAACATATGAGTTGTGGTGCACATAGAAGTAAGCCTTTCAATGGCTCATCGACTCGCTCAACTGAATGGACCTATACCCAGTCTAACGTAACAAAAGGAAAACCCTGTGAATCTTGTTTCAAGTAGTAGTAAGTAATCGCAAAATGCATCCCAAAATTTGGAAAACATGCCCAGAAAATGGCTAATGGACCTCTCCATGGAGTGGGTGCAAGTAAAGGTTTGTGAAGGAAATTGGATATGAGTCCAAGGCCTGTGCAGTTAGTTGAAGGGCTACCTGATAACTTTTATAAACTCAGAACGAAGTTAATCATGTAGACAAAACATAAGGAAGTACTATTATGTAATAAAATATAAAATATTGTTGCATACGAACAATACTGAGGCCCTGAGATGAGATTCGATGCTGCAACTGGGTAGATTTTGGAAGTTTGATTTTTTTTTTCCTTTTCTTGCAATTTATCATCTTATTAAGAGGGATTCCAGCCGTGAAGAATAAAACTGAAGAAATAGCAAAAGAAGACAGTATGAGGAGGAATAAGAAATATCAAAACATCCTATTCACATAAAGGAATGGAGGTGGGACAGTACCAGGAAGCGCACCAACAAAAGGTGCGATCTCTGAATCAAATTCCGATTCCAAATCTGCTCCGACTACCACCCTACATCT